TAAAATATATGACATACTAATCAATATTAATCAATACATTTTTGTTTTGCAGGGCCATGTTATTAATATTCTGCGTGTTCTCTGTTATCGTTATGGTTGGCTTGATTTACTTCGTCTTAGGCGTCGTTAGCTATCAGGGCGCCTGTGCTCCGCTTAGAGATCAAGAATCGAATGCCTTGTTCCGTCAGCTTAACTCAATTATAGATCTCAATCGTAGTTTGCCAAAGAGCGAGCATAAGTCGACTAAGCCCCTACGCATTTCGAATGTCATCAAAGCCTGTCAGGCTGATCACTCCATATTCAAACTTCTGCAGGATAACGATTTATATGACATTGATAATCTAGTACGCGTGAAAGTGATCAGCGAAACGCCTAAAGTACCAGTTTTGTTGGCCAATTTAGATAATTTCACAATACTTACTGACAAGGAAAAACGAGATCTCGAGCTGCTGCGTAACAGCAATCTATCCAGCTATCATAGCAAGATGTTTACAGAGTTCATGTGCAATCAGTTAACACCTGTCGATTTGCCCACAATTGCCAATCAGCTGAAGGAGTTCCGCAACAGCCTTTGGACTCAGTGGGGCATTTATGATTGGGCCAGCACCTCGCTCTACAACGAGGCCTACAACCTGCAAAGATATCACGACGAATTTGTTGAGAAAATCAAAACAATAATTAGTAAAATGACCGAGAAGCTATTAAAGATTGACGAATTGATATTATATAAGGGAAATGCATTTGGCGACTCAATAAAACTACTTCACGAATCAACGGAACGCTCAGAGGTATTCCTCAGAGATCATGGCCAAGAATATGTCAGTGGACTGCGCGAAAATCTCACTAGCTATATTAAGGAACAGGTCGTACACTATATGGAAATGGTCGTAGAGAAGTCCCATGGAAATGTCGGCAAATGCGCACCCCTGGCTAAGGTTTATAATCGAAGTGTGGACTTGATATGTCATCGTCTAGTCGATCCAATGGTGAGTCAATTAATTTCAGATAATATAGAAATATAAAAATTTATGTTAAACAAATTAATTTTTATATTCTACTATATTTTGCTATCTGAATCTTTGAATATTGACTCAGTATCTAAATTGTAATCTTAATTCTTATTTCAGAATGGCTTCTGGGTGGGCGTGTTGCTGTGTGCCGTGCTCTTCCTGCCCGTACTCTTTGTGGCTCATCGTTTGCTGTGCCTGTACAAGAAGATTGATCCGTATTCGGCGCCACCCGTTGCCGTAGTCGAGGGCGGGTAAGTGGCGTAAATTATCCTTGCTATGTTTAGACCTATTCGCATGTTTTGTCGTTGGGCAAATGAGAGACAAATTTTGTTACGCTCGTTTCGCTTAGCCTTAACATAATCGAAATCACATTTGTGTTTGTTTGCACGCTCTAATTGGATATCGTTAACAATCTACTTCCACTCTCATTTCATTGCTAATAAATGCTATGCTATGCCATGCCACACACAAATTGCACTATCGCAGCAGTGACTATCTGTATGATGCCTATAGCGAGCGCGATCGCGAACATGTGCCACTGGCCAAGTAAGAGAATTAAGCAGAAGCAGCAGCTCTACAGTCAACACTCACTTCATGCTCTCTTCTGCTGCTCCTTTTTGTCTTTGTTTTCAGTGTGCCAAAGAAGCGACGCAAGGCCTACGATCGAAGACGCGAACAGCAGGAATACTATGAGGATGCCTCGCCGAGTGTGTCGCGTGGGGCACGCGCAAATGGCGGCGGTGGTGGCGGCGGTGTTGGTGCTGATGGTGGAGCTGCTGGCAGCAGCAATATGCGCTATAACGATGTGGCACCCACGTAAGTCAATCAGACAAAAAGCAAAACACAAACAACAACAACAAGCGCTGCCTCCCCGTGGAATATTTAGAAACAAAGATACAAAGATACAAATTTGCATAGATACAGAGACATAAAGATACATAGCTACCAGATGGCTTCATTAACACACATATTAACTGCATTTATATTGTGCCCAAACATATTTCTACATATTTATATTATTTCAATGGCGGCCAAAATTTAATTGCCACTTTTTGATTTCATTTTATTTAGCGCTAAAGTTGTGGCCCTTGATACAAGGCCCAAAGCACTGGCGACAGATGGTTTCTTTTAGGCATGACTCGAATTGCAAATGGTTTGGTTTCTGTATATAGTATATATTTTTTGCTTATATAACTGCCCACAACATGCAATATGTATGTGTGTGTGTGAGTGTGTTTGAATGTGTGTGTGTGTACAGCCGTTGTTTGCAATTCATATACATATGTCATTTGTTATATATACAGTATAGCCTATCTAATCCCAACAAGAATTAGCTAAAGTTCATGTTCTTGAATAAATCATTCCATAGAATGCAAATAAATAATGCATAAAAAATTTGGAAAATATAAAAGAAAGTATAAACATATAATTAATAAAATATTAATACAAAAAAAAGCAAATGTTTAATAAATACTTAATAATAAATAATAAAAAATAATTATAAAATGATAAATAATAGACTATACTTATATAATAAAAAAATAAAAGTAAAAAAAATAAAAATAAATAATAAATAGACACAATAAATTGATATAATTAATAATTATAAAAAATAAGTAATTAGATTTTTTTAATTTCAATTTTTTGTTATATTATTCTTCTCTTCTTAAGTTTTGATATTAATATTTTTATACAAATATTTTCTAAAAGTAAATTAAAAATTGAAATGTTTTAGACCGTGATAGAGAAGCTTTACTGTATATGTGTTTATGTATCCATGGCCAGTCTGATGAACATTAACTGGAACACCTCTCATTCGCTTCATATCCAAACTCATTTCATAATTTGCTGCCTAGTAAATATATATATATATATATATATATATATATATATATATATATATATCTGACTCCATTGCCCAACTTCGAATGCAACTAACTGCTGCGACTACTGCTGCTGTTAAACCTAAACTAAACCGAGCTCTTAATGCAGTTGTTGTTTCTTGTTTCTTTCGTTACTTTTTTGTGTGGTGCCCACATTAGAGTGATTCGATCTTTAACCTATTCTGAATTCTTTGCTCCATAGACACTGGGACCACGAACCGCCGCGCTATCACAATCCGCCCGTGGCGCCACCATCATCCGAATACGAGCGACCACCGCCGTATTATTATCCGGGTGCCTCCGATCAGGATTAGATACCGGATGGATTCATTCAAGAACTTTGTTGGGATGGCTTTAATTGACGTGGAATGGATTGGATTCGATGGCATGGATGACGCATGAATTTCATTTTGACAACAAAAACAAGAACCCAATTTTACTGAGACTGTAATTTTAGTTGAAACGTTAGTTTTTTATTTAGAGTTATGTAATTTGTAGCATCACATGTGAGTTAATATCTTATATATATGTTATATATATATACGTGCGTTTCTTTCGAACTGTATCAGACGAACTGCCAGCGCACGGGATGTGAGTTGTAGGTGGCGCGGAATATAGTAAAGATTAGATTATAAGCACAGATCGAGACAAACTTAATTCACATACATATATATTCACATATATATATATATATATATATATATATATATATATATATATATATATATATATATATATATATATATATATATATATATATATATATATATATATATATATATATATATATATATATATATATATTGTTTAAAATTTTACACATTGAAAATGTTGCCAAAAGAAAAGCGAGCGTGAAAAGTTTGATGAAATAAAAGCAATGCATTGGGTTGATAGGTGGCGATTGATGAATATGCACAGCTAAAGCATTTAATAAGTTTAATGTTTAAAACAAAACAACAACAAGAAGACCATAAATATCCCAACAGAACTTAAAAGAGAATAACTGAAATTTCTCTCACAGCTTTGAGCAAGGAAAATCTTCCTTGAAAGTATCTCATAAATTGCACAATATAATCAATATACAAGCAAATCGAAAAGAAAACAAAAAACCAATGTTATGCAACAGCCAGCTATATATATATGTATGTATATATATATACATATATACGGTTAGTGTATATTTAAAATCAAAAAACTGCCATTTTAAGTTAGTTTAACAGATCAAAGCTGAGCTGGCAAAAGCTGAGCACGAAACACATCAAATGCTCTCAGCTCAAATTTTTTCTCAATGCATTTGAATTACGAGTGTTTAAAACTTATATACCCGACTTCCTTAAGACCCAAAAATGAAAAAACCGAACCTTTATATAATATGTACGTATTTTGAATTGTCGTGTAGTTGACTAAGCAAACGTTTCAACTCAACATAAAACTAAAATGTTTTTAATTATTAATCAAATTCGGGGCAAACTGCAAGTAGCCAAAATAATACAAATTATAATAATAATATAAAAAAAAAAAAATTATACGATAAAATTGCACACACATAAGCATACACACACACATACACGTATTAAATATGTATTTTAGTTAAGCAAAAAAGGAAAGAAGTAAAGCCAAGAAGTATTTATGAATGTATGTAATTTTCTCTTTCTATTATTTACGTACATCTCATGAATTTCTCTGCCTATGTCATTTTTTAGTGTTTTACAATAAGCCAATAGTATGGAATCAAAGTTTTAAATGCTACAAGAATAATAAAAAAAAAAAACAATTACTGTGAAAATATAAATAAAAATATAAATTATATAAATATTGTCTCTTCGATTATCTTTGCCTAAATCATGACAGAAAATGCTACACGTTTATAGTTAGTGCTATATCTGGTAAGTCGCATACATGTAAATTTTTTTATAATTATAAGTGAAGAACCTTCTGCAAACAGAAGAAACTTGCTTGAGAGTTAATCTATGTCTACAGAGCTTTGCCATTAATGACTTCTTGATAGATTGATGACTGAGGCAGTTGAAAAGATCTGAAGCATACTTCCAGGGGCAGCACAAATTGAAATATCCAGTAGCTTAGGTGTATGAACTTTGATTTGCAAGTCATATACCTTTTTATACTCATACAGATCAACACTACAACTTTTATTCCAAGGGAAACCCGTTTTTATCAATTATTTGCCAGAACTTTGATCCATTGCGTAAACTGTGTCATTTCCTAGTTCTTCCTTCAATTTAAGGCGCAGATCTTTTTTGGTGAAATTTTCATATATTAAAATCTTTAATTTAGATATCCGCGTGTCCGTAAGTATATATGAAAGGTGTATGAAAAAGTGCGCATGGAATCCCTGCTAAGCTGAGTTAAGGTCGTGGCAACAAAAGCAACTATTCTAAAATTAGCTACATTATGACACACGACACTATTCATCTATCTAAACACTTGAATCCCTACAAGACGAGACGAGTGAAGAGAAAATCTGGGGCAAAATGTGGACTCAGTGCTATATTTATGTTAGCCTTGATCACGACAATGGCACCGACTCGGGCACAACAGATAGACTGGGACGAAGATTTTCCCAGCACCCACGTGACCTTGGTCCAATCACACTTCCCCAATACCATCTATTCCAATTATGAATCGGATATTCCGTATACCACAGAGAGGATCTATTCAAATCCGATCACAAACACGCTGGATGACGTAAGTCAATTTCTGAATGATTTCACAGCTTCCGATAGGTCAATACCGCCTGGTAAGTAAATGAACACATTTTACACTTTATATATTATTCATTTATTTTAGGCTACATTGTGATCAATGGCGACTCACTGGCCTTGGGGCCAAAGGTGGAGCAAAATCAGTGGAAGGATCTTCTGGCTGAATATTGGCTTTTGCTGCTTTGGGTGATATTTCTAGTAGCACTCATCATACTCATGCCCTGCATAGGGTGAGTATTCATATAAATAGAAATCGATAAATATATATATTTATATTATATATTGTCCTGACAGCGTTTGCTATTTCTGCTTCTGTTGTTGGCGACGTTGTGCACCGGGTTGCCCCACTTGCGATATCAAACCAGATAGTCGTATGAGAATCGGCTGTGGCATTTTCCTCGCTCTACTGCTATTAGGACTCTTGTAAGTCTACTTACTCCTAATAGTCCCGACTAACGTTTCTTGTTTCCCAGCATTTGTCTGCTGTTTGCTTTTTTTGCAAACAATTCTATGGAACGTGGCTTCGAGTATACGCAGCAGACCATGCAACGCGGCAGCGACGATACTTGTCGCTTTCTACAGGATTGTGGGCAACACCTTCAACATTTACTCGTCAAGAACTATCAAGAGTTGCAAACAAATATTAATGATGTCTTAAAGAGTAAGAGACACACCGAAAAAGTCTTGCGTTCTATGGACTCGAAAATCTAAAGTCTACAAAGAGCACATCTGTTTGCCTCTCTCATTCTCTTTTTCTGATGCTTCCCAGATGCTGACACGCACATCTTACTGGATCTAATGGATACCTCTCAGGCCAATGCATTGTTCGACTTAGAGCGCATCTTTACCAATATGAAAAAGGCTCTGGCCGATTTCAAGATTGTCAAAAAGTTGCAGGACGAACTGCTTTTCTATGGCGCCCAGCTGCGAGATGGTAAATTATATATATTTATATCTATGGATATATACCTGACATATTTCCATGATAGGTATTCGCGGTGTTAAGCGTGAAATCACTCACGCCACTACAACTCTCTGTGGCAGTCGCACTTGCTTGCAGTTTTTGAAAACAACGGAAATCGAGATGCTGGACACGTCGAACTGTCTGCACTTTGATGACGTGAGTTAAAATGTATTGAACAAATCAGTAATTAGGATACTTTGGCTTGATGCCTAGTAGATGAAATCTTGGCCAGCACAAAATCTGGTTGGGTTCCAGCGTCCTTCGATATCACATTTAGTTAAAATAGATATAGATAATTTTTCCCTGCCGAGGGGCTGCTGCACTCTTCTGAAATTTGAAGAGCTTCATGCTTACAATAACCTCCTCTCTCACAGCTGCCGAATGTGGACGACTATGTGATTGCAGCAGAAGAAATAGCTAATAACACGCTCGAAATCATCAACAATGCTCTCAAGAGAATCGAACCTTTAGGAGAAGCAATCAAGGCAGCCATTGAGCCTATCGTGCCGCCTATATTGACCGATCTGCAGGCTGGAGAAATGCTATTCAAGGATGAGATGAACTTCATGGTTAAATCAATTGATGCGGTCATCAACAGCATACATTTCAGTACTCTAAGATCGACCAAGTCTCTCGAAGATGTCAACGACAAATTTGGCTCCATACGCAATATCGTTAATGCCATTGTGCTCGCGATCCTGACGATCGTAAGGCAGCTAGGGTAAGAAACTGGTGCTGCTATATTTACCTATTCCATTACAGATTGTTGCTGTGCTCCTGGTTGCCTTGTTCTTCGGATTCTGTACGCCTGTACGGATGTCTGATAAAGATAGAATCTGTAGCAAAAGATCGGGTGCTGTGTGCCTCTTATTGTAAGTAAATCTTAACATCATTTTAGATATAAATGACCTTCGTGAGTCTAACTAGCCGGGTCACGATTCAAGTTATTCGCAGCCTTGTTCACTTCTATCATCTCTGTTTAATCCTTACCTTCAGTGCCATTGCTCTGATATTCTCTGTATTCTGGCTTACTGCGCTGGTTGGTCTGTTTTACTATATCTTCGGCACGGTGACCTATCAAGGAGTCTGTGCTCCGTTACGCGATCGAGAAAACAATTCCCTATTCAGTCAAATAGATCCGGAAATTGATCTCAACAAATTCTTGTCGGAACACGTGATTCAAATGAATGTCGAAAAGGCTGAAGATTGGGAAGCACATAGGAAAATGGTAATAGAAACGGAAAGGGCCAAAATGAGGAGCGGTGGGAATGTGAAAGTGAAAAGGCAAACTGTGCCACTTCGAATGTCGACAGCAATCAAGGCATGCGAGGCCGATGAGTCCATCTTCGAACTGATGCACCAATACAACATTTATGATATAGATGAGCTGAGTCGACTGCAGATTCTGCAGGAGCACAAACTGCCGAATGGAACAATTTTCGACGCGAATATCACAGAATTTGTGATGCTAACGAATGACGAACAGACGAAGTTGACAGAGATACAATACAGCAATTTAACCGATTATCATAGTTCGATCTTTATACAATTTCTGTGTGATAAAATGACGCCCGTTCCATTGCCCAAAGTCATCCAAGAGATCAAACAGCTAGAAGAGAGTCTAAAAAGTGAATGGGGTCGTTATGATCTAGCTAAAGTCGCCTTGGCCAATGCGGCTAACAATCTGGAGAGATATCATTATCAACTCGTCGACAAGATCAAATCCACTATGAACGAAATTAAGCAGAAACTGAAGCAAATTGATAACCTAATACTCTACGAAGGCTTACCATTTGGCGAATCATTGCAAACTTTAGCCACATCCATAAAGAACTCACAAGAATTCATTAGAACTAATGCTGAGAACTATGTCGCATATCTGCGTACAAATCTGACAACATTTGTTGACACCGAAGCTTCCGACTATACAGACATGGTTTTGACCAAGGGCCATAATGAAGTCGGCAAATGCAGGCCGCTTGCCTATATTTATTACAAAGGCGTCGACTTGATTTGCCGTCGTCTTGTGTATCCCTTGGTGAGTGTTAGGAGAACAGTCTGAAATATTTCTTCATTTATATTTTGCGCTTTTTAGAATGGCTTCTGGGTGGGCTTGCTGCTCGCTGCTATGCTGCTGTTGCCCATTCTTTATGTGGCCCATCGATTGATCTGCCTATACAACAAGATCTATCCGTTAACAATGTTTCTGGGACCACCCATTGTGTAAGTCTCCTCTCAGCTACTTCTAGGCTTAGCATTTAAGTCAAACTTTATTCACAGGTGTCGAGCCTGCGGTGGAGTCTCAGCTTTAGATGCTGGTGCGAATAACCCGGAGCTGATCTGCGTCGTAGGCAATGAAATGGTTGAAAATATCGATGAATCTAAAGATACAACAGTGGAGATTGCAACTGAGCCATCGTCTTCTTCGATGACCTTATGCAACAGCAGCAGCAGCACCAGCAGCAAGCACAAACAAGAATAGACCCGAACCACATTCACTCTACAGCGAAGGCAAATTACACCGATTAGCACTCAGTCTACCGTAGATCCATCTTAAACTGTGATTTTTAATTTTAATAATAAAATTAATTTTTGCATAGCTTAAACAGTTGTGAAAATTAATTATATAGAAGCGACTCAGATTTTGGGAATAGTTTTTTTGACTAGATGATTAAGTTGGAGTATTCAGAAAACCTATTTATAGATCTAAGGTTGTTCAAGTGTCTGTTAAGCAGCTTATGAAATGTGGGAATATCTCTAGTCTAAATAAATTATTTGTTCTCGAGCCATGACCAAAATTTAGAATGAGAAAATCGATATTTATCGATATTATAGACTAAGCAGCTGATTCCCCTTCCACACTACATAAGCTAGAAGAATCAATATACAAACGTTTCGAGCTTCTGGCCGATTCATATATTGCAGTAGAGATCATCACATCCATTATGATCATTGTGCCATAAATCGTGGGATCGTCTTTTTCGTACTATGACCCTGTATATATATTTCATTTCTCGACTTGGTTGTCTGCACAAAAAGCTCTTGATTTCATTAGAACATATCCGGTAGCAGACATAAAATGCGCCGCGTCATGCCTTTGGCTTCTCATCAATCATATTATAATTAAAGCGTGCACCATATCTAATCTGACAAGAGGTTGCGAACAAACCCAACAAAAAAACAAAAAATGTAAATAAAAACCGACTACCGGGTGAGCCAGCCGCCAACTGACAGTTCAGACTCAACGAAAGCGACTTTATTGTGAGGCAGCGCAACAATGCAAGGAAGCTAAAGCTATAGAAAGAGCAGACAATTAAGTCGAATTGTTAATACACTTCAAAATGAATAATAAAATTTGTGATATTGAAAACTATAAGAAAAGTTGCTAAAAGTTAAGGATTTATTTGTTTATATATTTTCAAGCTGAACTAAAAACTAAAAAATAAATAAAATGTGTAATACAATTTTTATAGATAATATTTAAAATGAACAACAAAAACTTCAACATAGTCTAAGCTGCCTTTGGTTAGCAACGAAAAGTGAAAACTGTCCAACATATGATTTTCATAATTTTCAACTAAAAATTAAATCACGTTTCTTATCAACAAAGTCTGATTGTTGCTGTTGTTGTTGTTGGCAGTGAGTGCCTTTCTTTTTCAAAAAATTACCAAAATAAAAGCAAAAGAATAACAACAACAACAACATCATCAACAACTCGAACAAGCGTAATAACAATGAAATTTCACTTTCAATTTGTGTATGTAAAAACAAAAGACTTAAGACACGAACTTGCTGTAGTGGACGCCGCATTGTCGCAGTCGCCGTCGCAATCACAGTGAAGGTTAAGTTGCCCGATTTGATATTCAATTGGTATAACGGTTTCGAAAGCCGCAACAGACAAAATGGCCGCCAGTCATTGCACTCATTAAACAAGAAATAGCTTAAAATAAACCCAATGTTGCTGAGCGAGATCAATTCTTGAAGTTTGATTAGCTTTGTGGAACTTTCTTGAAATAATTAGTAGCTGACATATGTGTCAAACTGGTAAAGCAATACTAGCTTTGGACTACATATATTTCTATATTCAATATATTCCCATTTTGAGCACTAGGAGTAACGGTAAACTGAGCTCTATAAAATATACAGATGTTTACAGAAGAAATGAACATCAAATTTCAGAACCAATTCATTTTTGGCAATTTATATGATGTAAGATTTTGTTATTTTTGTTGAATGTTTCCATATTAATATAACACAAGCTTAAAAAGGCAAACTTTTCAACGACCCGACTTCATGCAAATGAGTTACAGCCATGTTAAGTTGACGATTTTTTTAGCGTTTAAATAATGCAATTCTTTAATATGTAGTATTAATCAAAAGTACAGATTCAAGCAAGTGCTAAAAGATAAGGAATCTAAAGATCGGACAACATTTGATCCAGTTAGAGTCAGTCGAATTTAAAGCATGATTCATGATGAACTGGAACCAAATGTTTGCAAAAACTGAAAATGAAGAGAATTATTTGATGAGCAAGAATTTGTAATACGCTTCAGTACCAATACTTTATTTATCTAAAAATAAGACACATTTGCATATATATTTCATTAATAAAGCTTTATAATAATAAAACTTTAATTTTCTCACTTGCACTGGATCCGCTCAAAGCCGGATTAATTGCTCTACGTTAGATGCTTGTGTCCCTACAAAATGTATAAAGTTTTCATTGTGTGCAATACGCACTTGCACTGGCCTTTATGGCTGGTGTGAAATTTTGCCGTGATGTTAAACAGAGCGTTGCATTTCCATTTCGCATTGGTGCGCTTTTCACGTGAAAACTGAAAACTGAAAACTGGCACAGAATTGCAAAAACAACAACAACAAATACAACAGCAAAGAGGCAGCGAAGCTGATTGCAAATGGCACGCAATACGCATTAAAATGCACACAATTAAGTGCTGCAAATGATTTACAGTGAAAGGCAGTGAAATTTATGGCATGCAAAGCGTGAGAAGCGCTCCAGAGGAATCGCTAGCTGCATAAATATTAGAACCTGTTAGGACCCAGCTTATGACAAACTGGTCAAAAGTCAAGCCTCACAGCTGTTTGCTGGTTACAAAGACTTTCGCTTTCGTTTCAGCCTCTACCCTATCTCGGCTTCGCTCTAAAGGCACATTGGACTTTTGCAACGAATTTCACACACACAGAAATATATATATATATGTACATATATGCAAATCCATGGCTTTCTATCGTGTAAATTATATTTATATATACATACGTACACATGTCTATTATGCATAAGCTTAACCAGAAATATTTTGTTTAATAATTCAAATTTGCATTTTGAAGACGCGTCTTCACCTCTTATGTGTGTGTGCTTATGCTAATATGGCCAAACTTGTTTGATTTACAAAATCTGATAATTGTGTGCGCAATCAATCCTTGCCAGCTGCTAGCCAGGCAGCAAACGCTGTTAAGTTAACAGCGCAACTTAACAGCCGCCAGTTTGTTGCTTGAGTCTTTTGAGTGGGTTTTGTTTCTGTTGGCTGGCCAAAGCGAAAGAACTGCACAAAAGCAACGCAGCAAAAAAAAAACTAAATTTTCCATGCAGCTCACAGAAACAACTGTTCATTTGTTGTTTTGTTACACTAACAAAGTGTTGTATGAAATTTTCATGAATTTTGTAACATATTCATGAATGTTATCAAAAAATATTTTTACTGCATGTATTCCATGCAAGCATCTTATGCACGTTGAGCGTGAGGTTTTGGGTTCTATACCCGGCTCGACATTTTTTGTATTCTTTTGTTTTAATAAATAAAACTGAAGCTTTTAAGTGCTTAGTCCTGGGTTCAATTTCACAAAAATTCAAATTTTTTAATTCTTTTTTTTTTTAATATCATAAAATAATATAACATATTCGCACGCTAGCGGTCCTGGGTTCCAGACCCGTGGAAAATTTTTTTTTTTCTTTTATACCAAGTGGCGATTGGCGATCAGGCCTGGATTCAACTACTGCGGCTGTTAATAATAATAAATTTAAGTCGACAAGGGTATTCAAGATGCAGCGCCGACGTCAAACTGTTTTTTATTTTATATTTGTTTTGTTTTGGTTTTTTTTTATGCTGCCCGTTTCTCGTATATGGCGCTCGGACGTGTTCGCAGCGTCAGCCACAGCGACGGCTCAATCGCAATCTCAGAGGGGGCCACGCTCCAAGCAACTTTACTCAATTTGAGCCACGACTTGTTGTTGCTGGCGCTGCTGCTGCTGCTGCTGCCGTTGCGGTTGCCGTTGTCTTGGCAGTTGGCCGCGCGACTGCGCACAAATCAGTTTCAGTTTTTCAGTCCAACGTGCGAGTTCGCAGCGAGTAACGGTTAGTACGCACCACCACAAAAAAAGTGGCCAGCGGCAGGAGTTGTGTTTTCAATACAGTGCTTCAATAAGTGACTAAGCAGAGCACACGATTTACCTGCAGTGTTCAGTGTTCACATAAGTTCCATAATAAACAACAATCAAATTTATACCAACAACTATATTGCAGATCAACTGGATATATATATAGTGTAATAGCGTCGAAGCTGCATAGAAAACATGGTGAGTGAAGTGTTAAGTGCTTTAGATATTCCCCCTGTGCCGCAATAAGTGTGTCAAAGAACTATGAACACAAAGCAAATTATCATTTCTTTACTGCGGGCCACATGCATACCAAAAAGCTCTAAAACAAAAAAAATTAGAATAATAAATAAAATACTATAAGAAAACAAAACAAAAAAAACAGTGTATTGAAAGTCAGCGAACGGAAAAATGAATGTTAAATCAAGGCTTGGGAGAACGTCTGACAGCCAGAGCAACCAGACAGGCAGACAGACAGACTAGCTGACTAGCAGACTAGCGGACTAGCTAGTCGACGGGTTCTGCTTCTGCTGCTGTCTGAGTCGAAGTTGAAGGCAAACCTGTCAAAGACAATGGCTATACAAATATGAATATAAATTCTCGTCAAGTTTCAGTTTCGCTTTTTTAGCGTCCGTTTATTTTTCATTTTGTCCAGTTGCTTTTCATTTTGGCTTAAACCACTACTGTGTGGCCTTTTACTTCCTTGGGTGCCAAAGGGGGCTTTAGTTTAGTTTCTGATTTCTTTGCTTTGGCAAATTTCATTATGGCTAGCAACACGCCATCGAGCGGCAGTCACATGCCACGCCTCAATTTGGCGCAGTCAAGTAAAAGTCGCTGCCAGCAATAACTAGTTTTCCCTCTCTATATACATGCCATATCTTGGTGTATGTGTGTGTGTACAACAATTAATATTTGCAGCAAAAAAAAGGAAAAACTTAAAAGCTAAAAAAAAATCTACAAATGCTGCCAGTCAATCGTCGTCGGCTTGGCCGTCGTCTATTGGCAAATCGTCGTTGGCCAAGCGGCCCCAAAAACTGGTCTCGCATAAATTGAAAAATCCGCAAAAATTAGGTTCGAAAACGAGTCGAGCGAAGCCAAATAAAAAACACAAAAAAATATATTGACGACTTCTCTCGAAGCATGTGGAACAC